AGGTTCTTTACATTGAAAGAATGGAAAATGTTAGAAGAATGGGTCACAAGCTTCAGCCCGGTGGAGCAGAATCGTTCAGATTGTTCCCAGCTTTGAAAACACTCACCGTGCATCGCATGAAAAGGCTAGAGGAATGGGTTGAAGTTGTTGAGGATGCAGCTGCAGGGAGCCAAGGTGTGATTGTGTTTCCTTGCCTTGAGAAGTTGCTGATTTCTAAATGTCCTTTGTTGAAGACTTGGTCAATGGGTGGATTTCCATCTCATCACAAGCTCTCTGAGCTGCTGATAGAAAACTGTTCGAATTTGACGACTATCCCTGATTTAGATGGGCTCTCAGCTCTTGAAAAATTACAGTTATTGTCCTGCCATGGATTAACAAGTCTACCAATCGGGCTTGGATCCTGCATCTCTCTTCAGTTGTTGGAAATTAGAGGATGCCAAAATCTGAACTCCATTCCAAGTATAAATAGGCTCACATCTCTTGAAAGACTCAACCTTTTTCGTTGCAATGGATTAATGTGTCTTCCAATTGGGCTGGACTCTTGCATTTCTGTTCAGCGGTTGGGAATTGACAGTTGCCCTAATTTAATTTCCATTCCAAAAGATATCGGTAAATTGCATTCTCTCAATGTTCTTAGTATTATGGATTGCAAAAATCTAAGGAGCATTCCAGGGGAGTGGCTAGCTAGCCTCACCTGCTTGAAGGGGTTACACCTTGGTCCTTTCTGGTCGGAGTTGGAGGATTTTCCTGGACTAACTTCCATTCATCAACTCCACGGTTCCCTTGAACAATTGGCATTGTATGGATGGGATAAACTAGAGTCTCTACCACATCAGCTTCAACATCTCACTACCCTCAAGGAATTGAGGTTATGGGACTTCAATGGCCTGGAAGCTTTGCCAGAGTGGTTGGGAGACCTCTCTTCTCTTCACAGGCTCGATATTCGGAACTGCTCTAATTTGACTCGTCTGCCGCATCAGCTTCGACATCTCACTGCCCTCAAGGAACTGGGCTTATCAGACCTTAATGGCTTGGAAGCTTTGCCAGAGTCGTTGGGAGACCTCTCTTCTCTTCACAGGCTGGAGATATGCAATTGCTCTAATTTGACTCATTTGCCTTCTATTGAAGCCATGCGATGCCTCTCCATCTTAAAATATCTTGGCATTTGGGATTGTCCCAAATTGAAGAAAAGATGTGCCAAAAAGAGGGGCCCCGAATGGTCTAAGATCTCCCATATTCCCAATATCAGAATCCATTACAAGGATGTGCAAGGGGAATTCAAATATTCCCAGCGTATGTTTAATTTCTAGAACCTTAATCCCTTCATTCCACATCATTTATGTACACCCTAATCAGAAATTTTCTTTCGTGTGTTTCTTTGTTTATTTCAGTTTTATTCATCTATTTTCATTTAAATAAACGCAGGCAATCTAATTTTCCTGTTCTGAAACCAAAAAGATATCATGATGAAT